AAATTATTCAGCGTCGTTCGTCATCTTGGTCACTGTATGCATATACTGGGTTCACTTATTTCTATAATCGTCGGAACGTACTTCTAGATATCGTGTCTTTGGTTTGGCTTCGCTAATGACCGGCTTACTGATCAGGAAAGATAACGCTTGGGGATCGATTACGTGTTTGTACTTGAAATTACACTAAACACCTGACCCGTGAAGATCCAGGGTAGAATAGGTCTTCAGCAACCCGTGGTTGCCATAAAAGGCGACTATGCTTGATGTAAGAGGCGACTGACGGGATCGGGTGGTCAGGCTCGCTGACTTGGTTGATATATGTCATCGTATCCCAATTGCGTGGATCGATGCTCATGATGTCTATCACTGGATTATCTGGTCCAGACTCGATTATGTACAGACCGCCGTCATATAGTTGGAATATTGCTGAGTGCGGCGTTAAACAACAATCAAACAAAACAAAAAACTCAACATCAGGCCCGAAAACAATGTGGACTGAATGCCTCCAAAGAAAAATCTCTTTACAAAAAGCGCTGAATCGTTTACCGAAAAGTAATAACCCCCTATGAAAGGCTATTGACATAATATAAATAAATGGCAAACACAAGCGAGTATATTGTTTATAAATGACGTCCGTCTATTTTTCCTGTCTGTGGTAGAGATATATACGTTTCTAATGCTCTCTCTAACTCCATGAAGAATGACTTTCAATACAAAATAGTAAATTGTTTAATAGTGTTTCCAAAATGCAGTGTTTAACATCATCTCAAAAAGTAAATGGTTTAACTCCATCGAAAGCTTAATCATTCGTACTGCCAGTGACAACTTGCTTCCAAGGAACACACACGTTTACATATGTATGCTTAACGATTGAACTTCCTTTGTAACGATGTAAAATAAATATAAAAATAATGCTATTTTTTTATCTTTTTCCATGCCATCTTATTGATTTATGAACGTGTTTTTCGTTTAATTGTTCATGTTCTAATAACAAAACATGGCTGTCAAATATTAATCTATTTCATTATGTTATTTACATTAATATCATAATGTTTTGTGAAACCCTGCATTGTGCAAACTGTCGCTTCGTTGCATTGATCTTCATACACGTTCGCTGTTATTTGTTTATCGCATTGTGTCATTGTTTGTCAATATTAGTGTGGCATTCAATAAACATGATAAAAACCCTTGTAACAGATTGTTTACTATGGAACAATCTCTCACATTTGACTGAACGCTTATTGCCACAAGTCCATTATATTAGTTAGGTTTGATATCGTTGGTAGGAATACATGGGTTTCTGCTATTAAGAATATGTTACATTCTCATGGCGTCGGACATGTGTGGGAATTTCAAGGTGCTGGTGATCCTGAATATTATATAAGTGAGTTTATACCGAGGTTTAAGGATTGTCATGCACAAACATGGTATTCTGAAGTGTCTTGATGCTCGAAATTAGAACTGTTTTCATTATTTAAGACATCATTATCACTTGAACCGTATCTATCAAATGTATTATCAAAAGAAAAGCGACGTATGCTTACCCTTTTACGTAGTGGAGAACTGGGAATTATGCATAACACAGGAAGGAGGGATGGCATCGATAAGAGACCCCGGTTTTGTCAATTGTGTAAGTTGAGGGCAGTTGAAAATTAAATTCATTTAATTCTTGTTTGCCCTACTTATGAAGATATTCGCTCAAAATATTTCCCATATTTAGACTTCATTACTGGTAATAATCGTAAAGACACACTGGTCAGAATGTTAAACTCTTCTGATGTAAACTGTCTTGAGAACTTAGCCAATGATGTTAAAGATGATATCTGTCTTCGTTCTTCTTACCTGTAAATATTATTTCATGCAGCACTTGATGTGAAACTAAATCGTATATATCTGTACGTTGGTCTGAGGCCTTATTACCAAATAAACTGATTGATTGATTGATTGACAAGGCCAGAGGCAATAAGGTTTCTCATTTGTGGTACCCGTGAAGATCCTGGTTAGAACTAATCTTCAGCAACCTATGCTTGTCGTAAGAGGCGACTAACGGGATCGGATGGTGAGGCTCTCTGACTTGGTTGAAGCATGTCATCGTATCCAATTGCGTTGGTCGATACTCATAATGTCAATCACTGGATTGTTCACAGACAAGCTAGAATATTGGTGTGTGTGGCTTTAAACAACATAGACCAAAACATTAAAGTGGCATTTTTACTGAAGCATCAGAAAAGACCTTTCTTTGATTAGTATCTGTACAGAAACGTCGCTTTGAAATATTAAAAAAGTTAATTATTACATTCGTAAGTCTTAAGTATCATCACTTTTAAAGGATACACACAAATGATAATAGTATATGTATTAATACAGTTATGGACGGGGTGCCACACTGAGCAATAACACTGGCACATGCACTACTGCAGAGGCCATAGATCAGCGGGGAGCCATGGTGTGTATAGTTCGGCACTGCATGCAACGTGGTGTTTGGGTACAGTTCGGCACCGTGTCTACAGTTCGGCACTGCATGCATCGTGGCATCTTCCCGAGGCAAGGGAGTTAACTGACTACAAAATTCCAGGTTACACCCTTGCCGAACTACGTTGGAATTTTAGGGCTCGATCGTAGCGCCACCAGTGGCTATTACGAGTTATGGCCCTTCTATGTCCATCCTATTGACCAATCAGATTCCACCTCTTCTATTATTTGCAATTGCTTCAAACAAAATGGTGGCGCCCTGTCAAGACTATCTGATCGATAGTCAAGATTTATATTGCAATAAAGCTAGACTTACCTCGAGAAAAGCATCAAATCACGTAAGCACCTTGATTTAAAACATTAAAAGATTTGCAACATATCTGTCGACGTCCAGTTGGCGGTACACATACCCTGCAAATCCATACCCTGTTAAAAATCCAATATATCACTGTAATGCCTTCATGTGCGTCGTGTATACACGTTGTATTGACTTTCGCTACATGTTGCATTAGGCACGCCGTTGATACAAGCCAAAACATCCTACAGGCTTTCAATATTCGGGAGTGAATGTAAATCACATTATGTCAGGGTAAGTATTACTGTACAGCTAAACCGACCCGCATCTATTCATAAATGGAAATGTGTAATGGTATTACAACATTCATCGATAACAGCTTTCAACAACAAAAAGTAGGTTTATTTACGGTCCAATCCATTTCCAGGACAAACGTTAACATACAAGAAGAGATTCACAATAGTTACTGTGTCAATTGTATTCAATGTCATTCTGACTGTTTCTCCTCATACGCTTCATTCAAGTTAGTGAGTGGAGTGGGGATTCTGTTTTGATGACAGATATCTTTTTCAGCTGCAATGAGCAAATCTATATTTTTAAACCACAAAGAGCATTACATAATTGAATCAATAAAATAAAAGAATATTCGGGCTCGGGTTAATTTTTCGATAAAATCCAAGCCTCCTTCCAAGAATATCAAATGGTCTTCCTTAGGATGGTGGTGGTGGTGGTGGAATGGGGTTTAACGTCGCGTCCAAGATTATTGCACTTATATAGCGACGTGCATGTACGTGTGTGTGTTTGTGTGGCTGCTTGTACTAGTACGGACTGATGCCGATTTATAGTACTAGCCCACTGAGATACCATGCCGCAGTTTAACATGAATACCCCACTCAGACACAGTATACTGACTCCGAGCCGACCAGTCCTAGTTTAAGCCCCTAAATGCCGAGCACCAGACAGGGTAACATCAAGTACCATCTTTTAACGTCATTTGGTATGATGCGGCCGGGGATCGATCCCCGGACCTTCCGCTCTCCGGGCAGACGCTCTACCACTAGACCGCTAGAAAATGGTACATGAATACAAAATGTGTAAAATGTATAAACAGGTACATAGTTACATATGCGTAACAATATTCCTCGGTGAATAAATAAATATAAAACAACATTACATTGTATATGAACAGCTGTGTAAGGGTGTTCGAGGATAAATCAATAGGGGTACAACAGTTTTCAATTATACAATGGTCAGACAGGTAACTGAACTTATAGTGGTGTACGGCAATAAATATATAATTGTATGGCATTATTAAATGGTGTACGACGGTGCATGTTATTATATTATTACCATCCGTTAGTTTATCTTTACACTCTGATTTGAAGAAACAAAATGAAATATATCCGTTTAGATTTATATTGTCAAAATGTTATTTGTTTCCACATGAATACAAAGTCTTTATAACATATTCAAAATATACATTTTAATATTTACAAGGCTACATGTATATTTGATTAAAGTCACGTGCTCCGTCATGTTGTCTTATGCCATGTTAATAACATAAGTTCCAATTTGGATTCACCTCAAATCGGGATGACAGACGGGACATAATCGAGCTATGATCCAAGACACGAACGCAGCAAGGGACATAACTCTGCGGAGCTACATGCACCTTTCACAAATGTAGTGCGCAGCGAGAGGCCAGCAGCTGTGATTGGATGATATTGTTGAATTTAATGTTTTTTTAAATTCTTTCCCTAGGTACTCAAACTGACCTTGTTTTTATCAACATTTAGTCCTGTACTTATGCTGAATTTGTCCACAATTTTTCAATTTTTTTGGTTGGTTGGTTGTTTCACTCAGCAATATTCCAGCTATATGACGCGGTATGTAAATAATCGAGTCTGGACCAGACAACCCAATGATTCATATCATGAGCATCGATCAACGCAATCTGGATCGATGACATGCTTCAAACAAGTCAGCGAGCCTGACCACCCGATCCCGTTAGTCGCCTCTAACGACAAGCATAATCGCCTTAACGGCAAGAATGGGTTGCTGAAGACCTATTCTACCCCGGATCTTCACAGGTCGAAACTGAGATGGGGAAGTCAGACACACTTTGTGATTATATTGCAGCTACATGGCCAGACTCGGCACATGAAACATGAAATAGCAATTGAATGCCTAATTATTTGAAATTATTATAGAAGTCCATTGGAATACGCTTGATTGCGTGTAACCTCAAGGAGTCCGGCGCTTCGCGTGGATGACCTTTATCTTCCTGGGACTTCCATACAGCGCCGTATAAACTCCTCGCGCCAGTCGCTCTAAATCCATGCAAATAACAGTCGCAAGTACAAAGCAGATGATCCCCACACCCGACGACCCAATAACAGCCATGGAGGGCCGGTCGTCGTAGACGGAGTAGAAACGACGCTTGTAGTTGGACAACAAGGATTTGTCAAGACGTAGTTCACTGACGTCGATCTCGCGCTCACTTGTCTGGACCTGATCTGGAATAACACATAGTTACTGGTTAATATACAGGGCACGTGAAATAGGGTTTAACGTGACGTGTGCGATTCAGGACAAAAATAAGAAATGATTTTACGGTCGCATGTTTCAGTGTCTGTCACAAAGTGCGTGCCATGCAACTCATTGGAAGTTGGGTTTAACGCCGCTTTGAACAATATTCCATCACGGTGTGTCAGCTTGATGTGGGAGGAAAGCCCGAGGTGATGGATGGTCTTTGATGTTTACCACTTCGATGAAACCCAGGAGCACGGGTATGACACCTAATATAAGTCCTGAAGTTTTATAAGTGTAGCTGCCCCATTTTCTCGACCTGTTATAATCAGATGGATTATATATATTAGATGATTAGATGGATATATATTATATTCCATTCAGACCATCTGGAGGAACGGGTGGTTGGGTGAAATGGGGTTTAACGTCGCGTCCAAGATAAGTGCATTTATATAACGACGTGTGTGTGTGTGTGTGTGTGTGTGTGTGTGTGTGTGTGTGTGTGTGTGTGTGTGTGTGTGTGTGTGTGTGTGTGTGTGTGTGTGTGTGTGTGTGTGTGTGTGTGTGTGTGTGTGTGGCGGCTTGTACTAGTCCGGACTGATGCCGATTTATAGTGCTAGCCCACTGAGATACCATGCCGCAGCTTTACATGAATGCCCCACTCAGTACACTGATTCCTAGCCGACCAGTCCTTGTTTTAACCCCTTAATGCCGAGCGCCAGACAGGACAACAACATGGACCACTGTTCTCTAACATAATATAACGTAATACAAGACGTCCATGCCAGAGAATGATCAGTCTCGTGTAGCCTTGTACCCATGCCCAGCATGTGTGGGTGGTGCCTTGTACACATGCCCAGCATGTGTGGGTGGTGCCTTGTACCCATGCCCAGCATGTGTGGGTGGTGCCTTGTACACATGCCCAGCATGTGTGGGTGGTGCCTTGTACCCATGCCCAGCATGTGTGGGTGGTGCCTTGTACCCATGCCCAGCATGTGTGAGTGGTGCCTTGTACACATGCCCAGCATGTGTGGGTGGTGCCTTGTACCCATGCCCAGCATGTGTGGGTGGTGCCTTGTACACATGCCCAGCATGTGTGGGTGGTGCCTTGTACCCATGCCCAGCATGTGTGGGTGGTGCCTTGTACACATGCCCAGCATGTGTGGGTGGTGCCTTGTACACATGCCCAGCATGTGTGGGTGGTGCATTGTACACATGCCCAGCATGTGTGGGTGGTGCCTTGTACACATGCCCAGCATGTGTGAGTGGTGCCTTGTACACATGCCCAGCATGTGTGGGTGGTGCCTTGTACCCATGCCCAGCATGTGTGGGTGGTGCCTTGTACACATGCCCAGCATGTGTGGGTGGTGCCTTGTACACATGCCCAGCATGTGTGGGTGGTGCCTTGTACACATGCCCAGCATGTGTGGGTGGTGCCTTGTACATTTATCACAATGAGATCAACGTCATTTGTAGAAGAATAATCAGACCCCAATATGTGGAGATTCCACAGGGCATAAAAGGCTAATCAGAAATGACACCGGGTGTCCGCAAAAAGGGCAAGCACATCGTGCTCTACCCTGAACTTCGTGATGTATTTAAGCCAAAGAAGGCATAGTGCTTCTTTGTAAGCTTTTTCCAGGAGTTTATCTGTCTGTCTGTCGGTCTGTCTGTTTGCTACATATATATTTTTGTTTAACCCTACAATCAGCAATATTCCATCTATGTCACAGCAGTCTGTAAATAATCGAGCCTGGACCAGACAATCATGTGATTGACACCATGAGCATCGATCTACACAAGCGCTGTCCGACCCAATTAATCGACTCATCCTTCTAATTGTGGATGTTCTTGAACTTCTTTGAGGTAGCATACATTCACATTCGACATGAAGTTTGTACTCACTCTCGTCCCCCGCGCACAGTGGTGTCAGCTGCGAGGTGCCAAGATGTGATGCGGGCAGGTACGACGATGCCGGCAAACAGGTATTGTTGGGTACGTCACTGTCGTCCATGTAGTTGTTATCGAGGTCACTCACAACGTCTGTGGAACCAAGATACACAGCAATGTACTCCAAACCTATCTCGAACAATGAGTGAGTGAGTGAGTTTAACGCCGCTTAAAACAGTTTTTCAGTTATGTCACGGCGTGTAAGCTTGAGGTGAGGTGGTGAGGTGAAAAGGGGGTTTACGTCGCGTCCAAGTTAATTGCACTTAATGGCGACGTGCATGTATATGTGTGTGGCTGATCGTACCAGATGCCGATTTTATAGTGCTAGCTCAGTGAGATACCATGTTGTAGTTTAACATAAATACCACACTCAGACACAGCATACTGACTCCGAGCCGACCGGTCCTTGTTTAACCACGTAATGCTGAGAGACTGGCAGAGTAACAACAAGTACCATCTTTTAACGTCTTTTGGTATGACGCTGCCGGGGATCGAACCCAGACCTTCCGCTCTCCGGGCGGACGCTCAACCACAAGACCACGGAGGCAGTCAGCTTGGTGTTGCATGAAGTGAGTGAGTTGGGTTTAACGCCGCTTTTATTTGTTTGTTTGTTGTTTAACGTCGCACTCAGTAATATTCCAGCTATATGACGGTGGTCTGTAACTAATCGAGTCTGGATCATCAGCATCGATCCACGCAATTTGGATACGATGACATGCAAGTCAGCGTGTCTGACTACCCGATCCTTTTAGTCGCCTCTTATGACAAGTCCACTTTTTGGCAAGCAGGGGTTGCTGAAGATCTATTCGAACCCGGATCTTCACGGGTTAATAATTTGCAATTAATTTGTGGTGAATGGTTGGTAAGGTCTTGATTACAGGTTTTGGGGAAAATACGGTATGCTTTATTTACATTGTTTTTAAAAAATATGGTGCAAATACACGCTTCACCTCTTATTCTAACATTAAACAAAACAGATTCTTTTATCTTAGACAAGGTCTAACTTGCTAAATACTCACATGCAACGCATCGCTTAATCTCTGTGGTTGCGCTTTCATAGGTATCCATGTCAGGACTTGTCAGAATATGCGGAATGTCGTCTGTTTGAAGAAAGCAGGTGCCGTCTTGGAATGACGTCAAGGCAGTGCAGTCACCGTCGTTCCGACACAACTGACGGCATGACGCGAGAGTCATGTTGGTGATGACGGTGCCAATCCCAACCAGCTCAGCGCCCGTCCTCGTGTCGAACCAACAGCTGTCTGCATGGGGAAATGAAGGAGTGAGTGACTGGTCTATAATGTCGCTTTGAACAATGTTATCTCACATACCAGCTTCATCTTTGTGGAAAGCCCAAAGTGATGGAGATGGATTACCACTTTACTGAAACCCACCAGAGTATGGAGCCCCGGATGGAATAGGTCTTCAGCAACCCATGCTTGCCGTACAAGGCGACTATACTTGTCGTGAGAGGCGACAAACGGGAACAGGTGGTCAGGCTCGCTGACTGTGTTGATGAGTGTCATCCTTTCCCAATTGTGTGGATCGAGGCTAATGATATCAATCACTGGATTGTCTGGTCCATACTCGATTATTTATAATATTTATTTATTGTTTTAATTCAAAATGTCCCATTGTATCATTGTCGCGATTTGCTTAATTGTGACAGTATTTGCTTCTTTATGGAAGGGCGACAGAGCGACAACGCGCCAATGTTCCATCTAGGGTTCCAAATATTGTCGTTCATTTGCTGCCATCATTTTGCATTTATGCACACCTGATTATGGCTTCTTAGTTCTTTTATTTCCAACTCTGGTTGATAGAAACTAACTATTCGATTATTATTTTGTGACAATGACTGGTCCCTTACCTAAAGGTCTTTCGCAGATGAAGTGATAGAGCTGATCACATCCTCTTGTCCTCCAGTAGCCCAGTCTGGTATAGCGGATACAGAACTCCGTACTCTGAAGGTCGGGTTCCCCTGGGGCCCAGTTAGTCCAGGACCCTAGAGGTTCACAGTCGCTGTGGACGTACTCAGCCGCTGGGGGGTTGGTGTCAAACATCCCCATCCATAGATCCGTAGATCTTGTGGAGTAATTGAAAAAATGTCATTATTCAAGCATTTAGCCACAAACCTGTAAAAAGACTAGAGTAAGTAATTGAGGGGTTAGGTCCGATAACCATCTCCACGTGTAGTTTCAGATCCGGGGTAGAATAGGTCATCAGCAACCTATGCTTGCCGTAAAAGGCGACTATGCTACTGTTCTTGCTGCTGTGGCTACTGCTACTGTTCATGCTATTGTGACTACTGCTACTGTTCTTGCTGCTGTGGCTACTGCTACTGTTCTTGCTGCTGTGGCTACTGCTACTGTTCTTGCTGCTGTGGCTACTGCTACTGTTCTTGCTGCTGTGGCTACTGCTACTGTTCTTGCTGCTGTGGCTACTGCTACTGTTCTTGCTGCTGTGGCTACTGCTACTGTTCATGCTATTGTGACTACTGCTACTGTTCTTGCTGCTGTGGCTACTGCTACTGTTCTTGCTACTGTGACTACTGCTACTGTTCTTGCTGCTGTGACTACTGCTACTGTTCTTGCTGCTGTGGCTACTGCTACTGTTCTTGCTGCTGTGGCTACTGCTACTGTTCATGCTATTGTGACTACTGCTACTGTTCTTGCTGCTGTGGCTACTGCTACTGTTCTTGCTGCTGTGGCTACTGCTACTGTTCTTGCTGCTGTGGCTACTGCTACTGTTCTTGCTGCTGTGGCTACTGCTACTGTTCTTGCTGCTGTGGCTACTGCTACTGTTCTTGCTGCTGTGGCTACTGCTACTGTTCTTGCTGCTGTGGCTACTGCTACTGTTCTTGCTGCTGTGGCTACTGATACTGTTCTTGCTGCTGTGACTACTGCTACTGTTCTTGCTGCTGTGGCTACTGCTACTGTTCTTGCTGCTGTGGCTACTGCTACTGTTCTTGCTGCTGTGGCTACTGCTACTGTTCTTGCTGCTGTGACTACTGCTACTGTTACTGTTGCTCTGGCTACTGATACTGTTACTGCTGCTTTGGCTACTGCTACTGATCATGTTGCTGTGGCTACTATTACTACAACTATTGTTGTTGTTACCACTGCTGCTACCAAAAGAGTAAATACAACACCGTGTGCCCAGTGTTCCCTTCTCTTTCAATCTTAACGGTGTGTATTCACGTGTACGTGCGTGTTTATTGTTTAAGGCCACACTCAGCAATATTCCAGCTATATGACAGTGTCCGTTACACAGTCTAGTTTTGCGAGTAATGATCCACGACGTCGAAGTACGATGACACGCAATCAACCAAGTCACTGAGTCTGACCACCCGATCCATTTAGTCGCCTCTGACGACAAGCAAGCCGGAATCCACAAGGGGTTTCAGTCTAATGAGAATCAACTGAATGAATACATGGACATGCAACTCACAAGACGTCGGTTTTCAGATGGGTCACCAGTTCAAACAGCACTGTATCCAACACTGGTGAATTTATGACCGCCAGCTGTGCCTTGGCGTCGTGGCAGATACTCTTAGCCTCGTTCCAAGTTTTGCGATTAATGTTGAACGTATACTGGACGGGGGGTATGTAGGCCGAAGCAACTGAAACAAAAATGATTATTATTGTTATTATTATTATCGTGTTCTTGTTCGTGTTGTTATCCTTCTCCCTGTTCTTGATCTTATTTTAATACTATAACTTTAGTAATATTAAAAATATTAATATTCAAAGCAAACTCACTCACTCATTCTTGGGCTATCAGTTCCATACTCAGGGTTTTGTTTGGGTTTGTTTGTTGTTTATTCGTTTTTTAATGCCGCGCTAAGCAACATTCCAGCTATATAACAGCGGTCTGTAAATAATCGAGTCTGGACCAGACAGTCCAGTGATTGACATCATGAGCATCCTTCCACGCAATTGGGATACGATGACATGCATCAACCAAGTCATGGAGCCTGACTGTATTCAATATGTTCATAAATGAGTTAGCAAAGAAGATCGAATCTGGTTGTTCTCAAGGAACCCAATTCCATCCGGGTAGTTAGAGCTTTTTTCAGTTGATTGCTGATCATATGACCTTATTGCTGACACTGTATTTGGTCTCCAAAAGCGTATTAACATTCTCATAAATTATTGCAGTTGGTATTCACCAATTGTAAGCCTTGATAAAACAAGCATTGTTGTGTTCAAAAAGGGTTACATTTATAAATTAATTGCAAACTTTTGACAAATGTATCGCTACAGGCAACAGGTTTTGTTCTATGTTTCAAAATTGACCCAATTTAATTATATGGAGCTGAAATTTTGGGGTTACATATATACACAGAAAATGAATCTGTCCATTTAATTGCATGTAAGCAGATTTTCTAGGTAAATTCTTCCACGTCAAACCAATGTGTCAGGGGTGAATGCAAGACATCCATTGTATATCTCAGTATCAAACCACTGTGTCAGGGGTGAATGCAAGACATCCATTGTATATCTCAGTATCAAACCACTGTGTCAGGGGTGAATGCAAGACATCCATTGTATATCTAAGTATCAAACCACCGCGTCAGGGGTGAAGGCACGACATCCATTGTATATCTCAGTATCAAACCACTGTGTCAGGGGTGAATGCAAGACATCCATTGTATATCTAAGTATCAAACCACCGCGTCAGGGGTGAAGGCACGACATCCATTGTATATCTCAGTACCAAATCACTGTGTCAGGGGTGAAGGCACGACATCCATTGTATATCTCAGTATCAAACCTCTTTGTCAGGGGTGAAGGCACGACATCCATTGTATATCTCAGTATCAAATCACTGTGTCAGGGGTGAAGGCAAGACATCCATTGTATATCTAAGTATCAAATCACTGTGTCAGGGGTGAAGGCAAGACATCCATTGTATATCTAAGTATCAAACCACCGCGTCAGGGGTGAAGGCACGACATCCATTGTATATCTCAGTATCAAATCACTGTGTCAGGGGTGAAGGCACGACATCCATTGTATATCTCAGTATCAAATCACTGTGTCAGGGGTGAATGCAAGACATCCATTGTATATCTCAGTATCAAACCACTGTGTCAGGGGTGAATGCAAGACATCCATTGTATATCTAAGTATCAAACCACCGCGTCAGGGGTGAAGGCACGACATCCATTGTATATCTCAGTATCAAATCACTGTGTCAGGGGTGAAGGCACGACATCCATTGTATATCTCAGTATCAAACCTCTTTGTCAGGGGTGAAGGCACGACATCCATTGTATATCTCAGTATCAAATCACTGTGTCAGGGGTGAAGGCAAGACATCCATTGTATATCTCAGTATCAAATCACTGTGTCAGGGGTGAAGGCAAGACATCCATTGTATATCTCAGTATCAAACCACTGTGTCAGGGGTGAATGCAAGACATCCATTGTATAATATTATCTAAGTATCAAACCACTGTGTCAGGGGTGAATGCAAGACATCCATTGTATATCTAAGTATCAAACCACCGCGTCAGGGGTGAAGGCACGACATCCATTGTATATCTCAGTATCGAATCACTGTGTCAGGGGTGAAGGCAAGACATCCATTGTATATCTCAGTATCGAATCACTGTGTGAGGGATGAAGGCAAGACATCCATTGTATATCTCAGTATCAAACCACTGTGTCAGGGGTGAAGGCAAGACATCCATTGTATATCTCAGTATCAAACCTCTTTGTCAGGGGTGAAGGCACGACATCCATTGTATATCTCAGTATCAAACCTCTTTGTCAGGGGTGAATGCAAGACATCCATTGTATATTTCATATTGGTGCAAAATGTAAACATTCCTGAATCAAAAAGAAATTTGGGCATCTAACATCCAGTTGCTTTTGTAAAAGTTTGGTTTTGGGTAATTTATATTGGGAAAAGTCAGGGTGCCGACTTACGTACTTTTTTTAATTCTGATTATGTAACACGTTTCAAATCGGCTCATGAACAGGACTGTTCCTAGTAATTGTTTCCCAGCTCAAAGATGCATAATCATGTTCCCTTTAAATCCACCTTCTCTGTTGAGTATTACTGATCACTTTCAAATTTAAATAACTTTAGATCGGCAATGGCTCGATTCCGCTGCAGATAACATTCTGTACATGTGGAAACTTACTTTTGCCCGGCAGTATATCTTTGCCTATTAAACCACTGGACATCACTAGGGCATGAAATAGCCCGGAAGTTAAACATAATTTGATGCTTAAAATCAGTATACATAATGTGAATTTGATTATATAAGTTCTGTAAACAGTAATTTTTCAAAATTAAATTAAAACAATTCTTAAAAATACAACAGTCAAATATCAGTTACAACTGATTAACGAAACATAGGACGCCTGATATGTGTTCCTTTTATAATATAACAATATGACAAATCACATATGAACATTACTCATATCTACATTAATCTAGTAGATAGAGCGTCTGGCTGAGTCATACCAAAATACGTTAAAAGATGAAACTTGTTGTTACCCTACCTGGCGCTCGGCATTCAGGGGCTCAAACAGTGACTGGTCGATTCGGAGTCAGTATACTGTGTCTGAGTGGGGTATCCATGCTAAACAGAGGCACGGTATCTCAGTTGGTTGGTTGGTTTGTTGTTTAACGCCGCACACAGCAATATTCCAGCTATATGACGGCGGTCTGTAAATAATCGAGTCTGGACCAGACAATCCGGTGAATAATATCATGAGCATCGATCCACGCAATTGGGATCGATGACATGCATCAACCAAGTCAGCGAGCCTGACCAACCGATCCCGTTAGTCGCCTTTTACGACAAGCATAGTCGCTTTTAGGGCAAGTATGGGTTGCTGAAGACCTATTCTACCCACAAGTCTTCACGGGTCTGGTATCTCAGATGGCTAGCACTAGCTATAAACCCTTCAGCAACCCATACTTGCCGTAAAAGGCGACTGTGCTTGTCGTAAAAGGCGACTAACGGGATCGGGTGGTCAGGCTCGCTGACTTGGTTGATACATGTCATCAATCCCAATTGCGTGGATCGATGCTCATGATGTCAATCACTGGATTTTCTGGTCCAGACTCGATTATTTTACAGACCGCCGTCATATAGCTGGAATATTGCTGAGTGCGGCGTTAAACAACAAACAAACAAACAAACAAACAATCCCAGCAGATCGATTCCCAGATTCACCCACGTGTATTTCCACGAAATAGTAAACGTCTAAGATCTGCATCACTTCAGGCTCTGAACGTTCAACTGACAATGCCGTGATGTAACATAAATGATGTCCAAACTCACACTCACTCAATCCGAAGTACACGAATACGTACCCGTGTACGCCATGACGTACAGTACGTAGACTACCCGGTGGATCTTCCTGCTGACAGCAGCCATTCTACAGAAGAATAGAAATGTCAGATAAGTGTCATTGCCTTTAATCAGACGCACGTTGTAGACGATCCTTGTTAACCTCTCTGAGATCATATTTTATCATCCAAAACTGGCTCCCACAGGGGATATCGCGTGGGTGAGATCAAACGATATCTACATTGTAGATATCGCTGCAATGAAATTGCATCACAATGCTTTGCAGACCATTTTGACGTCATTGTTACCATGACGGCACAATAAAATACCACCACTAATGGCTCTGCTACTGAAGCTGTTAGCAGAACTTTTTGTACTGAAGACACTGCTTATTACTGTCTAAAAACTAAAGATGGAAGAATGATGTTGGATGATAAATAAAATCTCACCCTTGTGTCTTTTGATATGAAATATATCAACACTCGTAGATATATTTGATATCAAAAGACACTCGGTGAGATTCTCTATGTATTCTAGTATTAATCTGCTTTTCTAAATGCTAAAACGTCATTAGCAGAATAGTACAAAAACAAATATTAACCATATTTGAATGATTTACTGACAGAACACCGTGCACACAAAATGACCTACCTTTAACAGACAGTGACTCTTTTATCCTGACGAAATGGAATATCTACAAGAACAGGCGACTAATAGACACATCGTAATGTATAGGCACTGTTCCCTCTGAACACTTCTCTGA